AGAAAGCTTGAATCAGGAGTCCTCAAATTAAGATTTGGACTACAGTTAGACAGTCAATCTTTAAAATGGTGTCTTGTTCTTGAGAAGGAGAACTTGCCACTCAAAACGTGAAGAGTCTGCTCAAAAGTTTCCCAGGGGCCAGTGGAGATTTGTGAGATTAATAAATGGGTCCCAGGTCTGGAAGCTAGATTTTGCTAGATAGGAGTTCCTGATGAAACAGGTGAATCTATGCCATTCGCAGCATTCATACTGTCTGATTCATACTAGCAGTCAGTGTATTAACTGTTAAATCCAAATGGATTAAGCATCTTTAAACAGTCTTATGAAAGGCTACAATATACAGGGTGAAAATATTTCCTTCTTGTCTGATTCACTTGTAGTAGTGTGACTGGCAGATCCACAAGCACGGTAAAGAAAAGATACCCTTTTATAGGCAACGTCACTGGATTTCAGCCGAGAACTGGCACACAACCACCTTTTCACAGATTTCTTCATAACACAGATTTGTTTTTTAAGGTTTGTACCAGTCTCTTCTGAAGTAGTTGTATAACGTGTTTTGTTTTTTTAGTTTTTGCCCTGGTGCCTGTCCTGGAGTATATACTTAAATAAAACACACATCCAACCAAAGCATTTCGTGCTCTTTAATTTCTAGGTCTCTTTCACGACAAAATGTCTGTTTTTAATGAAAGAATATCCTGTGTGGTTAATTCAGTGGTAGACAGACCTGGACCCAGCAACAGGAAAACAGGCTTTTCAAAGGATCCACTTTTTGCACAGCAGTTTTAATGACCAAGTTTGACAAACCAAGACCTGATCAATTCCTTCTACTTCCTCTCCGTGAGTGAACTGAAACCTGTTTATTGCACAGGCTGCACACAGATTAATGAAGGGATAAATGGCAGTAGTGGCCCCAGGAATTTTAATAAGTCTGTGTTGTTAAATTAAGATAAAAAACTTGTTCTTTAACCAGCTCACCCTCTCCTATTTTCCTCAAACCCCCAAAAGACATCTGTTCTCATGCTACTTGTCCCTAAAACCCCAGACTTGATTTTCAATCTGTATGACTTTATACAATAAGCTCATTAATGTTTTAATCCTGTTTGGAATCTGTAATATCGTGTGAAGCCTGTTTACACGTTAGGTAAACCCCGGGTAATTCAGCAAGTGGAATTATCCTTTTCAGATCTTAATACCCAGTGAAGCACGAGGACCTGCTCAACAGTCAGGTCTGGGGAGGGGCTGCAAGAAAAAATGGCAAAAAGGTTTTTGTGGGCCAATGCGCTGTTGCGTTTGGAAAGGACTGATAGAAGCTGAGCTGCAGTGTGAAATTCGCCTGGGTCCTGATCCGTGCGCCTTCTTCTAAGTGAATTGGCTGACATTGAAAGAAATAAAATAATTAATATCTGAGTAAATTCAAGTTTTGCAATATCTTCAGATAACCGAGCTGATGGCTGCATGTGTACTATCACATGTCAAGTGTGTGGAAACTTCACCTGCAGTGTCTTGCTTTGCAGGAATTCAGCTTTATTGCAGTGCATAAACCAGGCATTTTTGTGCAAAGTTTCTCATGTTGTTGAAATGCACAAAGGCACCCAAAAAGGTGCTGATGAGGGACTTTTCACTCACTGAGAGCGAAAGCTGTTATGCCAATAGAGCTTGCATCACATCGACATATATTGTCAAATATGGAGCTCGTGCCTCGCATCGCACCACAATTAGACAAATCTTTATCCCCTTCCAAAATAATTGTAATTAGCTCCATAATTTAGTAGGTTGTTACTGTACTGTGCACTACATTGACTCATTTTCTCATGCATGGTTTAGACCTGCATACTGTAACCATGCAACTGCTAGCAACACAAGACATAATATTTACACAGAGGTATTTCATTTTTCCATTTAGAAAAACTAAAAGGAAGGTGCACTGTGTCTTTCATATCATTGTATGTTCTTATGTCAAGCTATTAATGACTTGTGAATTATTGAACATAGAGTTAAACATTTTGCAACATTGGCAACACATTTAATGCACTGGCCTGTATTTTCATGTTCTGAACCATGTACATCTTTGTATGTTGTTTTCTGTAAGCTAAGAAGCTGAATCGGCTTTATAGTATGCAGTCACATTAGCACATTCATTGTGGCATGTTCATACTTAACTAAACATGCAGTTCATAAGGAGCTGTGCAAAACAGTCTGTACAGGCTTATTGTTTATAGGAAATGGCCATTCAAAACTGGACACCCTACTTTGTCTGCATAGCAGCTACAGTACAATTGCCCAGCGCAGTCCTGCTGCATTTAAGTTTCCCTGTCTTTTTGCTTGTTCTTGATTTGTTTGTCACTGCCAGGTTGACTGACTGTTATCCCAGCGGCCTCTGAGTCTCAGAGTTTGGTTCACTTGCATCTGTTTGTGCGGAGATTGCATGTCGTGTCTGCGTGGGCTTCCACCAGGTGGTCTGGTTTCCTCCCCCAAAGCAAGCTGTCTAGGTGTGATGAAGTGCTACTTTTCTCCTTGGTCCTGTCCTGTCTAGGAGGGAGAGTAGCCATGTGATCTCAGAAAAAGTGTTTTTGCCTCAGTCTACATTGTGGTGTGGCGTGAAAGCAATCACATTGTGTGACACTCTAGGTATCAGCTTCTCCAGGGCATCTTTCAAATATGAATCATTTACCACATAACTGTATCACAGGAGTTGTGCTTATTTGATGGCTGCAAGAGTTATTCAGTTATTCAGCTCAGTTATTCAGGGTTGTAACCAGCGTTAAATTCTTCGAAAGCCCTCCATAAATGCAAACCATTTGATTATTTTCAAAGCAGCCTGTTGTTTTTCAGCAGTGGCTGAAGACTTTTGAAAGATTAAGAGATCACCCGAAGGAGTTGTTTCAGTGTAAATCAGAAATACAAAACTGAAACCGCCCAGCATTGTCCTATGTGTGCTCTGAGGGAAGCAGTGAAATTTCAGTACTGTGAGCTTTCAAATGTTTATTTTTTGATTCCGGATAGATATCAAAAAGGAAACGCAAATATTTCCTCTATTAAAAAGTCTGCTTGAGTTTCTGATGAAATATAACATCATATTCAAGCCAACCATGCGTTATATTTAATTTCTTAGAATAAATTATCTACAGCTTTTAGATAAGATAAGATCACTTTATTGGCCATTTTTCAGCTTGCTCTCCATGAGAAACACAGACAGGGAGAGAGAAGCTTGGGGTCAGAGCGCAGGGTCAGCCGTTTATACAGCACCCCTGGAGCAGTTGGGGTTAAGGGCCTTGCTCAGGGGCCCAAAGGAGTAGGATATCTCTGCTGGCCACAGGATTTGAACCAGCAACCTTCCAGCCACAGCACCCGTCCTGAGCCACAAGGCCACTACACCACCCATGACCAAGAAGACAACCTTGTGCCTGTTGCTTGACAGGATAGGCACAGGCTTCCCAGCAAACCTGTATTAGAGATAGCGGTTAGGAAATGGATGGATTTTCCATAAGTACCACAAAAAAGTTTTCAGCATCTCAATACTCCCATCTATAGCTTTTCATTATCTTGAACCATGGGTGTTTCAGATTGGTAGACACATACCCATTGTAGAAAGTTTGGAAACATGTGGAAAGCTATCGGAATGTAGTGTAGTGTAACTTATCTTTCTTTTTCCTGACGGATGCAGACAAATAAGACGACACAAGTCAAAGTGTTTCCAGTCTCCAGTTTGTTGTTGTTTCTATGTCCCTCCAAAAATCTGCTTTGTCTGAAACAAAACAGCTTAGTTTGTAGTTATCTTATCACACACTGGGAACAGGTCTTATTGAAGAAGGGTTTACATATAGGATCAAGTCCTGGAAAAAATGCTTTCTGCTTTTCACAATTAATAAATGATCAAATAAGTTGTTTTTTTGTGCTGTGGACACACTAAATTGCAGCTGTGTTCATTTGAAAACCATATTTAAAATACCTTTTAATTGTAAATTGACTGAGCAATCAATTGATAGCTTTTTTGTGGCTATAATATATGTACAGAAATTGGACAGACAGTTACCCATACTTGTGTCTGAGATAACCTAGGCTGTCAGCTACCTGTGATCTGGTACAAAATCTCAACAGTTTATCCAAGTAGAACCTGTTCTGTGACCCCGTTCAAAGTGTCTCTCAGAGTGAAGGAATTCCTCATGTAAATCCGGGCAAATAAACCCTTCCTCAGACTCCACAGTTTCGATTTGCACAAATCTGCCGTCATGTTTCAGGCAAGCCCTCCTGCAACCGTGAGTTAGCCAGAGCTTATTGGAAAATCTGTGCCAGTCTCATGAGCCATGAGGCCCCACACTGTCCTGCCACAGCCCCACAGAGAGTGGAGAAAGTCAAATGAATAGCCAGGCCTGTGAAGGACCTGTTTTCAGTCATCACACATCTGGTGCCTTGCTGCAAATAGCTTGTTTGCTGCCTTATTTGAAATTCTGTGACACATTCCAGGGAGCTTTAAACGAATCATTGGTAACTTAACATGATTTCATTTGCTGAGACAGACCGAAATCTAAAAGGCTGCGGGAAACCTGTGTGCACAGAACAATTGCTGTATAGTTCAGCTGGATGTTGGTGGAATGGAAACTCCAACCCAAGGAGTAATGAATAAAGTTCTCTCTCATGATTATATTCAAAGTCTGATACACCAGAGTCTTTTCAGCATAGTCTCTTGCTTCTGTTAGTATAGACAAACTCTGTCATCTTAATTATTCAAGGTATATTCCCAATGGAAAGATGCTAAATGGGCGACATTTTTTCAAATTAAATTAGTACCCAGATACAACATGTTCAGCACAGCAACATCAGAGAGGGTTTTTTGTCCTGGTTGAAATAAATTCAGAAGGGTGAAGTTTATGATTCCTTACAGAGGGACTGTTACCTCCTCTCGCACTTTGTGTTCCTAGTGCTTGGGGGTTTCTATAGCTGAAAACAGTAGTGCCAGGCCTTTTGATTGTCAGGATCCCACCCTGCTGAATTTGTCCCCCCATATGTCAGAGCCAGCGGCTCTTTCTGTTTTGAAGTCGTTTATTTCCTTGGTTTGGGGTTCTGATCCTGTTGGAGTGTCTTGAAGTCAGTTCTTGGTGCTTGGCGGACCATCATTCCATCTGGAGTTGAACCATTGGTCTTCATCACCTGGATATATCACACCTTCATCGAAGAGTTTAACGGTGCCGCTACAACCTGGTCTGCTGCAGCTTTTCAGATCAAGCAGTTAATATCTGTCACCTAGGCCTCTGTTATCACTGCTTAGATACAAGGTTAGATAAATAGAAAATTGCTAATCCCATTTGAATCCCATTTCCTGCACTAAAGACGCTCTGTACAAGGCATTATTTAGCCCCTACTTAGCTTATTCAAAGGAAAAAGCATTTGCTTGATCTTGCTTTGCACGTGTTGTTTTTCTTTTCTTTGGAAAGCCACTAGGGTTGTATCTGTGAACCTGTTTTTTGTGCCGAGCTGGGAAGATGGAAAAAAACGGATCCCCAGCCACTTCGTGTCTGCGCCACCAGCGGAAAGCACCGCCGCCCCCACGGCGCTCAGGTGTTTTATTCTGACGTCCTGTTTTCTGTCCCAATCCCTGGCAGCTGAGGCATCAGCAGTGGAGTCTGGTGATGGAGAGCGCGGTGCCGTCCGACCGAGGGAACTACACCTGCGTGGTGGAAAACAAGTACGGCACCATCACCCACACTTACCAGCTGGACGTCCTAGGTGAGGCGGCGCCACTTGGTGCTGTTTGTCCTGCGTCGGTGCGGTCAGACACTGAGAGGGCCCCGGCAGAGAGCGCAGCAGCACAGCTGCTCGCGGGCTCTGATGCTCTTGCCCTGTCAGGAGTGTGTCAGCCTCCACGCCGAGCCAGGCGGTGTGCCGAGGCGGAACGACTGCTGCACCCCAGTCGCCGTGCTGGTTACTTAAGCACCTCGGTTGCCGGAGTGACTGGCTGGGGGCCACACTACCTAGGAGACTAATCCCGTCGGCCCTCAGAAGCTTGGCAGAGCTTAACCACAGCAGTGCCCGAGATCAAGAAGCCTCTGGCTTGGATAATTCACCCCTGATTGATTCTCTAAAAGCTGAGTCTATACGCTGTCTCCTGTTGTCCATGTCCACTTCATCAAGGCAATGAAGGATTTGTAACGAGTCAGTCTCGTCTGAACCACAGCAGCTGCCCAGCATTCCTATAGCCTCAGCTCTTTGAGAAATACATGCCTTCTTGACACTCCTGCCGAAGCCTCCCAAACGAAATTGTACCGGTAACAAACACTGACAAACCTGCTTATTTCAGCGCTGCAAAGATGATTCAGGTGATCAGCTCATTTCACACTGGCGGCTGTTGGCTCAGGCTGCCTGGGATTGCAATGTGGGCGAACGGGGGATAAACTGACATCGTGCTTTTTCTCTCCCGCTCCCTCTCTCCTGTCGCGCCCACACGCAGAGCGCTCGCCCCACCGGCCGATCCTGCAGGCCGGCTTGCCCGCCAACCAGACTGTCGTGGTGGGCAGCGATGTGGAGTTCCATTGCAAAGTCTACAGTGACGCGCAGCCTCACATTCAGTGGCTCAAACACATTGAGGTCAATGGCAGCAGATACGGCCCTGATGGGGTGCCGTATGTCAGCATACTCAAGGTAAGTGAGAACCGTGGACTGAGTGCCAGGGCAGTGGGGTGGGGCAGTCCGGAGCAATGTGAGGGGGGTTTTAGCTATGGCCACCAGGAACCAAATGACAGAAACTGCCTTGCAGTCGCTGTCCTGATTGTTCCTGAACCTTTTACATTCTCGGAGCCTCTCTCTTTGATCGTGTCTGATCCTGTGGGCTCCTCTGGTCAGAGGAGGCCCACACCTCCTGAGTGCAAAACATGAACAGAAACACTACTCCCCAGGGAGGAGAACCTGATCCCAGCGCAACACTGAATTTGTTGCTTTGTTTGCAGATAACTGTTACTCCAGTTATGTGTACAGGATGTTTGGAGAAAATTAATGTAACTACAGAACTGCCATGGAAGGGGAAATGTTGGACAGGATCAGCTGGTTTGGCAGCCAAAAGGCTCTAATAATCAGAAACACCTGGGTCAATGTTAACGTGTGTCTTGATTTTGTTAAGAAACGGAGCAGGGCTCAAAAACTGTCTCAATTATATTGGAAGTCCATGCGAGAACTCTTGTATAAGGAGCACTTATACAAGGATTGTAAGAGAATGGAACAAGCTACCCAGCCATGTTGTTGATGCCAATACTGTTCTTTAAGAAAAGGGGCTGGATCAGATCCTTGGATCAGTTAGCTACTTTTAAATTATCTTAATGGGCCAAATGTCTGCCTCTTGATTGTAACTTGTCCCTATGTTCTTATATTATTATCCAAGTAAGGCTGCCCCGCGTTTCAATGAATTCTTACTTTCATTCACCATGTCCTCTTATTTTAAAATAGTAAGGCCATGCTAGTTTCTTTTAGTGACCTACCAAAGGTACTAAAAAGGCCTGAGCAAAGCACCAAAAGGCCTGTATGTTCCCAAAGTTTATGCTTGGAAACTAACTTTGAAAATTAATTAAATCCCATGTTTGGACACTCAGCCAAAGAGGACTAAATCAATGCCTGCGGCTGTGGAGATCTGAAAAGCAAATCCAAAGATTTCCCCTTTAAGCTGATAAGGGCAGGCTTTTAACAAGGAATCTCAGAAGACAATGGAGATCAGGCGCTAAGGATGTCGACAGGATCCACAGAGGAATGCGCTCGGTGTGCCAGAGGAGGATTTTCCAGAAGCAGGGCTCATTCCAGTGCAAACAGTGATGTCACTGGATTCTAACACTGCCTTCAGAGCAAACCCCCTGCTGAAAACAGAGGAGTGATCCTGCTGTTACATCATTCCTATTCAGAATGCCAGGATTTCTTTCATTCTTGCTAAATCATTAATTACCATTGCATTGTTACAAACGTACATAATGCCTGTCTACAATTTGTGTGTATTTGCAGTTGTTTATAAGAGTGACATGCTACTATTAACGTCTATGCACCCGTGATTGCTTAATCCAGCTTCTCATCTGCTTTCACCATGACCCTGCAAATCTTTTATACACACAATCAGAAAGTAACATCCGGAGACTTTAAGTATACAGCTCCTAAAATGTTAATTTATATATTTTCAAACATTAAAACGAGGTCATTTAACTATTCGTATTTTGTACTGCAGGATCCGTACCTTTCATAATAAACTTGTCGCCCGCCGTTTGGGACTGCTCGTTTCAGTTGAGTTGGAAAAGGCCGTTGGGAGAAATCACAAGACTTTTCACCATTTACAAACCAGGACAACTGCAGTTAAATTCTTTCGCGTGGGATGGACTTCAACTAAAAATCAGAGATTTCTCTTCTTTTCTCACAGAAAAGCATAAAAAATTGAAGAGAGACGTGCTGTCCCCTCCCCCCCCCTTTACTGTTTGAAGAAACCGGGAGGATTCCTTTTGAACAAAGTCAAGCGGGCCTGTTTTTTTTTTTCCAATAACTAAACGAAAACACTAACATCTGGTTTGAAATATCAGACACGCCTCAGTGGTGGCTTTCAGAAACCCCCATTAGCAGTCTGAAATTCATTTGATTCAGATGCACTGCTTAATTTAGTGGAGGAGAGTCTCCTGAAAAGCCATGGAAAAAATTACAACCAGCCCAGGACGGGCAGAGTCAGCAGAGGAGACAGACCACTGACAGCTCCGATTTTGTCTCCACATTCTATTTTCGACTCCCGGATAATTGAAACAACATTTGCTCTGATTTTTAAAAAAAAAACTTTTTGACAACTTACAGCATTTCATTTTATGGGAAGCAAACAAAAGGGTAAATGGGAACAAAGCGTGATATAAACATGGGGTTTGGGGATGGGTGGATGTCACCACACCAGAGTGTTAAAAGAAAACATGAATTAGTGGGCCTATTCTTTTCAAATTTAAAGCTTTCCCTTTGTGCCCAGCGGAGTCACAAATATATCCTTCCTCACACACATTTATGTTTTGGAAAGTGGTCTGAAACATTTCAGCTGCAGCAAAATTGTTATATTTTGGACCCAAAACAAAATTAATGCTGAGAAACCAAAAGAAGGAAAAAAAACCACGAGACAGTTCTTGAGTCTTGGGTGGGTCACTTGACTCTTTTCACATGTGTCTGGTTATTTAAGCAGAACCCCAAAAACATTGTTCACCCTGGTGGCCTTAGCTGAGTGTTAAAAACGCATGGAAATGGAGAGGTGTCCCATCTTTCACAAAAATGTGTTGTGTTGTTCCATTGTGTACAAGACAGACATCACTTTTACTGATAAGGGAAACACTTTAAAGTATATTTCTAAAAATAGCTAAGGAAAGCATTTCTGCATATTCTTGTGATGTTAACTTAACCTTTGTTTTTTTATTATTATTATTAATGTCCCAGTTAAAATTACTGAGGTATTGACTGTAGAATTTCCTGACCTTTAAAAAAAGTTAAAAAGGAAATCGTACTCGGTTCACATTGTTATGTGATTCCAGGTGCACAGTGTATTCACTAAAATATCTGTCTGTTTCTGCAGTCCTGGATAAGTAAAAACACAGAAGCCAATGATAAACTCACTCTGTACAATGTGACAAAGAAAGACGAGGGAAAATATTGGTGTCGAGCCTTTAATTTCGTAGGCATGTCCGAAAATCCCTTCTGGCTTTTTATTCACAACCCGAAACCAGGTAAACTCAGAACTCTGTCCCAGGACCTAATGCACACACAGCTTGTAAGCCTGGAAAATATGATGTGGTGTACTTACCTTTCATCATTCATCTTACAGCTTATGCACAATGTCCCTCTCTTTACTGAGCTTTGCAATGAATCTAACTGCATGCACATTAACGATGAAACCAGTTGCCAGAGCCACCCATCTCTACTAATGGTCCAACTCCAAGTACCAGCTCCCCTCTCTCATCTTGTATTGATTTCTCTCAAAAGGCAATCTACAGCAAAACAATGGGAATGCTTATTCAGTGCCCTTGCACTTTTCTGCATTTGACTTTACTGTACTTGAATTTAACACTGCTGCTGTCCAGGCTATGGAAGAACACATCGTCCGAAAGTCATTGGTCAACTTTCTTTACACAGGGCATCTGAGTTAACTGGTTTAAAAGCAGGCTTCTGCTGGTAAACCTAACCAAGAGAGAGCTCTGCCCTACAATGACACCCCAAAACCCAGTCCTTGAGCACAACTGAGCACAATTTGAACCATGGCCTGTTAAATGGAAAAAGCTCAGCTCAGCTGACACATTCCTCTGCCAGCTTTCATCTATAATAACGATCTTCAAATAAAATGTTGCTCGGTCGTTTTCTCGGCATTTCCTTTTTGTTAATCTTCATTGCAGTAGAAATAAATATACAATATGCATTCACACCATTGGAAACACCAGTCTTTACTACCAAAAAATCTTACTTATAACTACAGTCAATAAAGAAAGATCCTTTTTATTCGTACTGTAAGTGTCTTCTAAGCATCAGCCTGCTTGTTAGCTGATCATCCACAGTTCCACAAAGAGTAATACATCAGACAGTACCAATACAGAGTTCTGGTCTTTGTGAGCCAGATTCTATAAAAAAAGAGACGGAGAGCAGCAAAAACGAAAATCAAATTTGACCTGGGAGCAGACTCTTCCAAGTTTCTCTTTTTCCCCATTTAGGACAATTAAGCATGAGCCTGTAACGCCTTACTACAGTACCTGTGTTTGGCTTAGCTAGTATTTGTTTTTTTTGTCCGAAATGAGTATGCAGCTTAATACAGGTTCATTGAACATAGATTTGTTTTGCTGTAGGTCTTCTAGCATTTCTAAAAAAATTAACCCTTCAGTCTTTTTTCTTCATAAAGGTCGCAGCCTTTTCTTATGCTTCTGTGCCTCACTTTTCAAAGTGCACGTTTGTACTGTGGACGTTTTCCTTTCATCAAAAGCTGTGGGTTTGCATGCTTTGTGACGGGACAGAGTGACGGTAGTATTAAAGCCTGGTGAAGGGGAACTTCTGCTTTGGCCACTAATGTCCAGGGGGCAAAGCTGGCAGGTGGGTCTGACCACTCCATCTTGGGCAAAGGGACCTCACAGGAGGCGATGAGCTGTTAACAAAGCTCTTTCGCCCCTACTTGCCTTTTCTCTTCGGGGGATCTGTGGAGTTGTCCATTTCTCATTCGGGATCCTAGGCGGACTCATTTTTTTCTGTCTCTCCTCTTCTCCCTCTCTCTCCCTGTCTTTTCCTCTATCCCCAGACGGCAGGTATTAACACAACGGATAAGGAGCTAGAAATTCTGTTCTTGGCCAATGTTTCTTTTGAAGATGCAGGGGCGTACACTTGCCTTGCTGGGAATTCTATTGGGTACGCTTACCACTCTGCTTGGTTGACGGTTCTCCCAGGTATTTTCTTTCTCCATTTGGGTCTTTCCTTTTAGAACACTTCTGTATTATGATTTTATTTTATACATGGTGACTGTTTCTATGGATTTGCCTTTTTGTTGCTATGGTAACGCCGCGTTCTCTCGCAGGGAATGTTAGCCAGAGACTTTATTAAGGCTCGGTTGTTATGAATGGAAATTAAAATGAATGTTTACAGCTACAAGAGTTTAATCCTATTCATTTTTAATGTCCTTAAAAGTCTCTGATATTAATTTTACACAGCGAGGCTGGGTTTTTCTTCAGACGCCTTCATTTGATTGACATTTTACTCTATAATGTTTTTCATTTTTACTAACGGTATGTTGTGACTGAAGGGATGGATGGAGGGATGAAGGGTTTGCAAGGAGACCAAATCAGCATCAAGCCTTCTTTATGTTCAGTATCATAACCTGGAATTAGTGTCTTTAGTCACAGGAAAGGAGACTGAAAAGTCCTTTACCGTATATTTGCGAAATATAAAATGCTAGTTTTTCTGGCAAAAGCTATTTGCTATTTTCAGGTAACTCCCCGAGATTTGCTCTGGACTTCTAAGCTATAAAATGTTGCTGACGGTTGCACAACTAAGCAGTATTTTGGACAAGTGTGTGGATTAGTCCATATTAATGTAATTGTATTACTGTTAAAACACTAATTAAGGGTGTTGAATAACTCTGAATGGATGTGCCCTGCTGTTTGAGTACATCTTAATGAAACTGAAAAGTTCTCATTTCAAAACAGGTTTGACATTTTATTTTAAGGACATGATGACACATTTACCATTTAAATTATATTAATGTCCCCAGGGCTTGTGTTATTGGTCCCTGTGGTTTGTGAAAAAGAATTCCATTATTTCAGCATTTCCAGAGTCCTTTTGCATTTAATAGTAAAAATGTTCTCCCTGGTGCTCCCTGCCAAAACAGATTGTAATATCTGAGACCTAATACAGTTGCTGAGCAGAATGAGAGACTACTCTTAGTGTTTGCACCCTGATTTTTGACAATTTGCAAAGCACTTAATTGAGTCAGGGTCTGATCCTTCTTTGAATTGTACAGATGAGGTTTGTTTAATGAAACCCCCTGAGTTTACAGCAGTTACTCGGAAATTACACTTTGGTCCTGCTATCATTATTCCCTAAGAAAGCACACATTTATAATTACCTTTTCTCATTGGAGGGAGAAATGAAAAGCATAGAGTCTCAGCTTTGATTTGTTTCATTCAATAACAAATACAAACATTTTGAATACAGCAATCTCTTATGTGTTAGGTTGATAAGTTATCTTCACTAATCAAGAAACGGCAAGGCACAGAATCAGAAATTCACATGTGCTCAAAGTCTGTTACTGGGGCAGAGAATGAGGTACTACCTTCATCCCCCAACCCATGTGATATGGCCTGACAACATTTTTCACCCAGCCTGGGTGTGTAACACAAGCTGTTGCTAGTCAATTGAAAATGCCACCCCATCCAGAAAGGTGTGTATCCCAAGAAATAATTACTCATTAAGGACAGTGTGCCACATGGAGTTCTACCCAGCTGTGAAGAACAAAAGCAGAACAATCCCATTATGTTCAGCTCCTTAATTACTGCTTCTCAGGCTAGCTGATTTGTTTTTTTTATTTTTTAAGCATCCCACCAAATGGCATGTTAGCATCAAACTCTTGCAGATACTATGGAAGCAAGATGCTTATTAAGACAATGAATAGTTTAATTACTTCCCCAGAGAGGACTGGCAGGGGCTGCGCAGGAATTGCCTGTATAGTTGTGACCCACAGGAATACAGCAAAATTGGAGTCTCAGTGTTTATTTGTATTTTTCTCGATGTGCACAAATTATGTGTGATTAGCTTTTACGGACAAAGTAATGACAAGGCAGCTTTTCACGGTTTCATATTTTCCTATTAAATTTGTGATGTATATGAATTGACTTCAATAACACCTTTAAACTGAACCTTAAAGCAGGGCTATCCAGTCCAGGTCCCAGAGGGCCAGCGTATCTCTGTGTTTTCATTTCTGCTCAGGACTTAACAAGAAAGTTACCTCTAAATCGGCTGGTTGCAGGAACCAATTTGTCAGCTTGTCCCAGCTCTTCAGGCACTGCTGCTTTACAGAGACTTATTAAACCGGCACACTCCCTCTAGGACCAGGACAGCCATGTCTTAAAATGAATGCACATATTACTATAGAGTACTTTCATCCTATAGGATCTCAAAGCACCTTGCCTATAGTGCAGCCTCCAGCAGCCCCAATACACAGCTGTTCAAGTGGAGGACTGAGAAAGAGCTTCACCAATTGAGTTAAGGGGAAAGGCCAGACTATGCAAGATCAGAATAGAATTTAGCTAGGTCCCTATTCTTGCAAACACAGTCGTGGGATCTTTAACAACCAAGCTGTTGGGACCTCTGTTTACATGCCTCTAACAGACGGGAATTCCAGCATCTTAAGTACAGCATAAGTATTTAAACCTTTTGGAAATGTGGATCCACAAGTAATAGTGCCACCTAACAGTCCACTAATACCACTCACAGCAGCAACTTAATTTTTCTTGTCCTGTCCCAGTACTGAGTAGTACCAGCCCTGCTTCGCTCATGATATCTGAAAAGATTACACTAAGAGGTGCTAAGGTTTTCACTGATATACATTAAAATGTATGTGTACAAAAGCATTTCTGTTTCATACCAGTTATTACTGCTATGAAAATAGTCCGACTTATCAAAAAGTATGTTTTGCTCAAAAACAGTGTTAGTCAGCAGCCAGTCATTTGCAAAGGATTAAACACTTCTGATTTTGATGCCCTTCTTTGTTTGCAAGGGCCCCTTTAGTGTCGGTGTTTTTTTCTTTTGCTTCACTTTCAAAAGCCCATCCGAGGTATAAGTAAACTCATTTTCGTTAGTCATGCAGCTAGGTATAATCTATTTTGTCATATTTCAAAATCCAGCAAATGATATTATACCTTTCAATCCATAAATCATACAGCTCTCAGCTCTCACCAAGAAGCTTATGCTACTGAACAAAAAACAAGGCTGGTGCAACACTGATTAGTAGAGATTGCTTGATGGGGATGTTAAATGAATGATATGACTGTGCTTGGAAACAAAAACCTGCATGTTAAAGAAAAAGAAAAGATTCTATTACATTGAAAAGGCAAAGCCACATTTGACTAAAGTTGTTGTACTAGTAGGCAGAGTATTTGAGGTGTCTTTTGAAGGTACTCCTAGTTTGCTTTCAGTTCAGGAGGTTTGCTCCTAGTTTGCTTTCTAGTTCAGGAGGTCTAAAAGCACGTCAACTCATCCCCTGTTCACCTTTGACCTCTAACCCTCACAGCTATAGAAGAGATAGAGAAGGACGATGACTATGCTGATATCCTCATCTACGTCACTGGCTGCGTACTCTTCATCCTTACCGTGGTTATCATCATCTTGTGCCGCATGAGGATGACCACGAAGAAGACGCTCACCGCTCCTCCTGTTCAAAAGCTCTCTAAATTCCCCCTCAAGAGACAGGTAACAGAAAGTAGATACAAGATTCCTGCAAGCCTCCCTTTTCTTTCTCTCTGTCTCGTCCCCTGGCCCTCTGTCAGTCTTGTCTGTCTTTCTGAGTAAATTCTCTTTCGTTCCAACAGGCTCTTTGTTTCGCTAGCTGCCAGTAAAACTATCTGCCATGCCCCTCTGTCACTCTCCTTAAGGCAACACGCAAAAAAAAAGAACGGTAGTGGAATATTTCAAAAACTATCCAGCTTTGTCAAGTCTTGTTGAGAATTCTTTTATTTCTTCTCCTGGATTTTGCTGACTGAAACATTCCTCCCAAGGTCGTTACAATAGTTTAATATTCAGGGGCGGAAATGCTAGTTTGAGACAGTGTTTTGTTGTTTCTGGTAAAAATCTCCTTTAGGTCGCCCGCAGGCCCTTCGGCCAATTTAGTTTTGGTACTGGTCTGAATTCCCTCTGGCATAAAGAAGTTGAATGATTTGTACTCACAGCACAGGACTGGATGTGTGCAAATTGCTCCAAGAATAAGGATCTCTTATTTCGGGCATGTGGGAACAGCCATGTGTCTGATCTGTGCTGGATCTCAGTAGGGTCAGCTAGGGGTAGGGAGAATATGAATGGAGTTGGGTAGCAGGTGTGTCTCAGCTGGACGGTGGTAAAGTAGGAGGTGGTATGGTAAGTGGCTGCTTTTCATTTGGGAATCCCAAGGGGAATGAAACAGTGAAGCAAATTTGTAGCCTTTCCACCCTCGAGACAAAGTGTGGGTAACACAGAAGGAGCAAATGAACCCCTGGGCACTGAAAGCAAGAACTGTTTGAGTCAATTTCCTGGTCACTTAGAAAGCCTCTCCAAAACTACCACTTACGAGTTTTTTCTCCACATCCTGTCTGTGTGCGCAGACTTTATTACGCCTTTTGCATTTTCTGCATAGATATACTGTATATAACTCATGATTACCTAGCAATTCTGTAATGTACCTCATAACCAGCCTTACAGAATTAAAGGAAACACACAGAGCAGTCTGTTTCGTATCAACATTAGACTTGTAATGCTAGAAAAACTACAATGAAACGGCATTATGCAAACAAATCGGTTTGTATCGTTTTACTAGCAGGCCAGTTTGGAGGTAACAGGATTCTCTGTGGCTCGTTTGATGGAACAGGTAGTGTCACCTTTTTCAGAGTCTATAACAGGTTCTGTTTTTTGCATTTCAAGCAGGTGTCCTTGGAGTCCAACTCGTCCATGAATTCGAACACCCCGCTGGTCAGAATCGCCCGCTTGTCCTCCAGCGATGGGCCGGTGCTGGCCAACGTCTCAGAGCTGGAGCTGCCCGCGGACCCCAAGTGGGAGTTTCCCCGGTCGAGGTGAGGGGGACTCCAGGGGAACAGACAGGAAAACGGGGGAGAGCTGGGTTATGTGCGCTGAAGTCCCAAGAGCATGGTTCACTGGCTCAGACTGGCCCAGCTAAGCCCTTTTTAAGGGGGATTCTAACTCAGAGTTTTAGTCATAATTACCCAGATTAAGATTCCTGGTTTCCTTTCCACCTGAGGTCATACTTCCCTAATTGTATCATTATTTGCTTAATCGGGCAGCTTGAAGGCTAGCCCTGTTCTGGAGAAGGTGGAGATTGAAAAAGGCTTATTAAACCTGCTGGTCAGTGGCCCTTGTTAGGCTCCCCTGACCGATAGCAACACTGCGGTTCATCTCGTGCTGAGTAGGTTTCCGACTGCAACACCATGTCACCGCAGAGTAGAACTACCTTTCTCACCGCAGTCGAAACCCAGCTCATGACCCGTGTTGGAGGGTGAAATGTTTATCCCCTGGCGAATTGTTCTTCACAGTGCACGTACCTTCGGCTGTGAGGGGTGACCACGGCTCCATCCACTAGTTTTCTACAAGCTAGGAAAGTGTAGGCTTGCCCTCCATTGCCAAAATGACTGCCTTAGTGAAAAGAAAATGTCTTTCAGTGAAAATCCCAGCGGCATCTATTGGCGACATTGATTGGGTTTATTTCTTAGAAGGAGGATCTAACTCATAGTAGTACAACAGGTGGAGATGCATTGATCGATGGATCCCCAGTCACTTCCGTACTTCACAGCTGCAGTATTGAGATGTCATTTCAGTCGAGTCCTCTAAACAGCCATGGAGAAAGGTTAAAATGGAATATAATGCTTTGACTGTTTTTTTGGAGAGCAGTGCACAGTACAGCATTATTCCTCCTCACATACATCCATACTGCAGCCCTTGATCTCTGTGCCTGCTTTCTCCGCCATAGAGGTGAAAGCTTGGGTAAAGGATAACGTTCCTTTTAAGGAGATAAATAACCAGACTGTTGCTCAGTGTGAAAAGTTTCCTATGGACGTCTACAGAAGGCCTTTTGTCTGTCGGAGTAAAGGAGAAAGGGAAAGAGAAGAGCAGGGAGGAGAGTAGTCTACTGCCATATGTACACGTATCTGCTACTACATGTGTGATTTTATAAAATCAATCTAATCAATCTAATTTGCTAATGCAGAGGTACATTTCCATTCCTTCAGAGGTCACAGTCGAACCGTTCTGTTTCAGGTTGACGCTGGGAAAGCCGCTGGGAGAAGGTTGCTTCGGCCAGGTGGTCATGGCTGAGGCTATTGGGATAGACAAGGAAAAGCCGAACAAGCCCCTCACTGTAGCTGTCAAGATGCTGAAGGGTCAGTATAAGAAATAAATAAATAAACAGAAACAATCTAGGTTGAATTATAACCTAACACTGCTCAAAAACCTTTTTTTTTGCTAAAAAGGGACAAAGGCTTTTTAATGACCTCAAACTAGCAAGTTCGTCTTTAGCAGGGTTATTCTTCAGTTCCTGTTAGCTTAGCCTAGCCTACCATCGAGAGTGCACGCGCTGTACGGTAGGTATTGTACACATACAGATACTGTATAAAGTACCTTCAATGTAAACACACAGACAGTAAGGAGGGGGCTGAGGATGAGTTAAAAATGAATGTTTAATTTCTTAGGTTTTATAAATACATTGTAAGGGGTCTAACATGACACCATAAAACATTCTTTATTGTTTGAAATTTGAATTCCTGATTCCCATGATATAGGATGAGTATTGCGATATAAAATAAGGAATATACCCTATCACACTTAACGATTCACTGTCTTTACTTTGCCATAGATATGCTGAACGTAATTAGTGTGTTTTATACTAAAGGAAGAAGATTCTAGGACATGGATTTTCTGTCTCTCATCAGTTTCAACTGAATTGGAACATAAACTCAGATGTTTCTGTGATGCTGTGTAAGACAAGCGCAGCCCTTATCATACTACTCTTCTTGTTTGCCTTCTGTCTTTCCAGATGATGCCAGTGACAAAGATCTTTCTGATCTGGTGTCTGAGATGGAAATGATGAAGATGATCGGAAAACACAAGAACATCATCAACCTCCTGGGAGCTTGCACACAAGATGGTAAGTTTAAGGTCTTGCCACCTATTCACCAAGATGCTTCATGCTTGTTCTTTTCACACAGATCTAAGAATGAAACTGAAGTGAACACTCCGACTGTGCTTAACGGAGTAATTCTGACTTGTGCTAAACATTTTATTTCCCAAGACCATTTTGGAGCATTAATCCCTAAGTAGAATTAAATTCCATAATTGAACTAATTTGCTGGGATGGTATATGCAAATAGACACAGGTCCGTGGGAACACAATTTTCCAAATAACTAATAACTAATATCAAATTGGCCACTCATGCGGAATAAAATGTTTTAGGACTACCAAAGGCAAACATTTTGCAATTGACGGCACGTCTGCATTCTGAAGAGGCCGGAACACGTTTCCCAGGTCTTCACTGGCTGATGTTCTTCGCTGGCTGATGTTCTTTGTTGGCTGATGTTCTTCACTGGCTGATGTTCTTTGCTGTTTGATGTTCTTTGTTGGCTGATGTTCTTCGCTGTCTGATGTTCTTCGCTGTCTGATGTTCTTTGCTGGCTGATGTTCTTCACTGGCTTACCTCCCGCTCTGCTGTTCCCAGGGCCCCTGTACGTGCTGGTGGAATACGCATCCAAAGGTAACTTGAGGGAGTACCTGAGGGCCCGGCGCCCCCCCGGGATGGACTACTCCTTCGACACTTGCAAGATACCCGACGAGCAGCTGACATTCAAAGACCTGGTGTCCTGCGCCTACCAGGTGGCACGAGGCATGGAGTACCTTGCATCCCAAAAGGTGATCAAGCCCCGAGCTGTCCTCACTCGATGGCACTGACACAGAGCTGAGTAACCCCCTAGTCCAGATGATACTGGCCCTATACTTATTTCTTGTATTAGGAATTTGTCTTTTTGCATACCCCAACTTGCTCTCCATGAGACACACAGACAGGGATAGAAGCTTGGGGTCAGAGCGCAGGGTCAGCCATTTATACTGCGCCTCTGGAGCAGCTAGGGTTAAAGGCCTTGCTCAGGGGCCCAACGGAGTAGGATTCGTCTGCCGGCCGCGGGATACAAACCGGCAACCTTCCAGCCACAGGCACAGATCCAAAGCCACAGAGCCACCCCACTGCCCCCTTCGGTGATGTTTAGAGATGCTTTCACTTAGATATGTGGCAGGGACTGCAGAAGGCAAGATGGACATTTGAAAGGATTTCTAAACGTAACCCTGTGCCTGTCCATTAGAAGGCAAAACTCACTTGCTATGCCTGGTAGAACTGAACCACATCATAAACCATTGTGACATCTTGCACAGATTTCATCAGTATAATTACACGGCTGTTTAGATAAATGCACATTCCGTTTTCAAGAGGTTAGTTAATGAAGGTCTTCGTAGAGCATTAAGGGGCTTTATTTTTATTGATTACAGGCTAAGGTCAGGGTATCCATTTCTTACTCCACATTTTCAGTGAGAAAGTCTGTAAACAATGTCATAATATATCAATCTTAAAGCAACTGACATATATATCTGCAATTTCCCTCGTGGGATTAATAAAGTATCTATCTAATATACACTAATTCAAATTTATACTTGTAAAATATAATTTGAATTCAGTTCAGATTTCTAAAACTGTTTTCATTTTTTAATTTTTCCCCTTCCAGTGTATTCATCGTGACCTGGCTGCCAGAAATGTGTTGGTAACCGAGGACAACGTGATGAAAATAGCAGATTTTGGCCTGGCCAGGGATGTACACAACATTGACTACTACAAAAAAACAACAAATGTGAGTACCGGGGAAAAAAAGTGGGTAGCCAATACAGTCTGACAAAAAATGACACAACATGAAATCTGTGCATTGTGGGTAAAAGAAACAAGACACTAGTTAACATCTACGTCCTGAATATTTATTGGTGATAATTTCCACATTAACCAGTTATTAATTAGGCATCACTGTCTTTCTCCATCACTTCTTACTTTCCCAACTGTTCTCTCATGCTTTTCACATTCTACAGTGGAAGCAAAATTAATGACCGTCCTGGATATGATCAATATTATCTGAAACAGGAGTTACTTATAATTTATAACTCTATGAATGGTAGTCTTGGTGAAATTATGGTTTTATAGTGTTTTGAAACCTAGATTCGGCCTTGCATTTGCTATGGTGTCTGATGAAATCAACATGCTTTTGCTTTCTACACTACACCCAAATACTCTCAGACTGCAATAATAAACATTTTCTAAAAAAGTGCTGTGTTATAGGTGTCAGGGCCTTCTGCAGTTCTGTGTGTTTTCAAAAGTGTTTAAACCGTTTTTAAACGGTCCTTGATTTATTTTTATTAGACCTCACGTTGCTTTGTGAGCTGACTTTGTTTTACTGTGTTTCATCTGGTCTTTTTTTTATTACAAAGCGGCGGCTCTGCGAAAAGGTGTTACATAAAATACACAAGATTATGATTGAAAACATCTGTTAAGGGATAACGCTACTCCCCGGCCACTGCAAAACGTAAATCCGAGTAAGAGAGAAGATACGGTGTCAAATTCACCTCGATAGATTTACTAAGGGTAGGATGCGTTTTGAAAAAGCTTTCTGGTCATGAATGTTAGCGTCCTTGTACACAAACAGCCGCTTTTTCTCACTTGGATGTGCTTGTCAGCGCGAGTCAGAAATCTGGCCGGAGCGCAGCGCGTCTCCTAAAGACGGTTTTTGTTCCGGGCTATTTGCGGACAAGCGCTCCTGCCCGGCCGGGAGTCCGGGGGCGGTATCGCGCTTCCGTGGACTTGAGCGAGGCGGCGGCCCGGCGCAGCTGCCGGAGGGACAGATGTGATCGTCGGGATGCGGTGCGGAAAGAGGATGAGAAAGGAGGGATTCGGCTGGAGCCGCAGAGGCGGACTGGATGAGCCGATAGATCACTTGTTTTGTTCTCTCCTCGTCACAGGGCCGGCTGCCCGTGAAATGGATGGCTCCGGAGGCATTGTTTGACCGGGTCTACACGCACCAGAGCGACGTGTGAGTTTTGATAACTTCCCCCAGCGATGCTTACTTTACCCCTGTTTTTTCATGCGCGCGGAGGAACGCATCAAACATTCATTTCAGTAAAAGGAAAGCATTATTCTTAGGGCACGTTTCTTTGTGGCGAGTTAATATAGTGTGCGTATGTGTTTTGTAAGCATGGGGGGATGACTTCCAGTTTATTCACAGCTGGCACTGCTTATGTTCCAGTGAGCCAGTTGTAGCCTTCTTAATCTGTCTCGAGAAATTGTTTTATTATTATTTTAAATTACACAATATATTTTAATAGCTTTGCTTTTATTAAGACAGTCCCCCGTCTTTTAACTAGATGTAACTGGGGCTTTCCAGTACCGTTTTTTAAAGTTTTTTTTTATTATTTTCTTTCCTTTGTCCTCCTTCTGAGTTTCAGAAATAAGGGTATCTTTCACTGCAGTCTTGTAATCACAGTCATGCATCAAGGACGGTTGCAGTGTTCAATAACATCAAATGCATGTATAGAAAGACGTATTCAATTTTATATAGGGGGTGGGATTGGGCAGTTGGGAATCAGATATGTGATTCTAGTATGGAGTTGTGAAACTGTGATGTTTACATGCTCTCCCTGTATTTGAATACAGGCTTCCTTAACAATTAAGCAGGCTTTCAGAAATCTTCCTGGCTAGTTTAATTGGTGTGTGTAAACTGTCCTTGTTTGTACACCCAGTGATGGTCTGCTGTCTCTTCCTATGGGGCACAATTCTGGGAATAAGTGTTTTTTTTTTCTGATAATGGATGGATTTATTCACTAGTTTGCTCTTAATAGCCCTGTCTAGAATTTGTTCCAATAGATTTGATTCTTTAACCTTCCAGTCTGCTTTTACAACTTGAGCAAGAAAAGTAATGGAGCAGGTAAAAGCCGACTGTCACTGGTCACTTTTTGTCACTGGTCAGCTAGGTGTCAACACTCGTAAACCCCTCCTCTTAAGGAAGCTCCAGACCTTTCTAGTTTTGTAGTCATCTCCAGCACCTGCCTCCAGTTCTTGCCCCCCCGTTCCTGCCAATCTGGCCTCAGCTTTGGAAAATGGACGCCCAGAAGCCTGCCTACCCGCGAGTCCAGGAGCGACTCGACGGCACAGGCTTCACAACGGCGTCCTGACCATCTGGGTCCGGGACTGGAGCGTCTGGTCCTGTTACCCCCTTTTATTCCCACAACCCACTGCCGGATCCCATTACAGCTTTTAATTCTGTTCGTCTTTGTCCTGGATGGACCACCTTTTGGACTGTTTGCCTTGGACACACCCCCCTGAACACCAGCGCACCTAGAACATGCCAACTGTTTTCCTTCCAGCCCTTTGCATGATTTTTCCCCTGTGTTTTCCTCATTCCTCTCCGGATTGTGCTGTCTGCACAGGGTCCTGAAACTAGGTTGTCCGTATCCAAACAAAACATTGAGCAAGTCAGCGCTTATGCTGTGTGCTATTTTAGAAAGCAGCAGAAAAGAACTATTGGATCCTTTACAGGGTTATTTAAGCAAAGCATTTTCAATAGGCTAGGGAAGAGGACCAAATTAGAGATTAAGATGGCTAGAGAGGTAGCTCTATTCTCCCATATATATTTATGTGCACTCAGATTACCTTTATTTCACATCATGCTTATATAAAACACTAAATTCATTTCAGACTTTTGTTTTCAATTTGGCTGACATGAAATATGTGGCTCGAAGTCCGATACATCAGTAGCTTCTTGGCATACCCTTGGAAGTGTCACAACCACCAAAGCAACCCCGACGATGCTCCCTTGTGCACCTCAGATCTTCGGCAGGACAGTGTGCAGGCCTGCACAATTAAGCATTAAGCAATACCAGGGATCACTTTACAGCAATTAGTGCTCCAACCAGCCTGTGGCTGCCGGTTTCTGCTCTGCTGGAGCTGTGCGTGGATAATTCGATTAGCTCCGCTCAGCGGTGCTTCCAGAGGGCGGTGGAGGAGGGGACCGTCTAACAATGGCCCCATGGTTAATAGATGGGCCTGTCACCTATCTGATTAAATGCTCATTTCGAGCTCTGACTTTGCCGTGCCGTTCTCTTGCTTTGACAGCAAAGGGCTCAGCCGGGCACTGTGGGGGAGGGCTTGATGTAGGAGTTAAAAATGACCCCCGAGCTGGACCTACTATGCTTTTACAACACGAGGTGGCACGATGGCAGATGCCTGTGGTCCTTGCTCGGGGGTGACTCCGGCTGCGAAGCAGGAGAACAGAGCTCGACTGTGTCCTCTCCTTGCCCCCTCAGCTGGTCGTACGGAGTGCTGCTGTGGGAAATCTTCACCCTGGGCGGGTCTCCCTACCCTGGGATCCCAGTGGAGGAGCTGTTCAAGCTGCTGAAGGAGGGCCACCGCATGGACAAGCCTGCAAACTGCACTCATGAGCTGTAAGTCCCACGGACTGATGCCCTTAGTGAGGTGTCTACCTCGCTGGGCTGGGGCCTCGGCATCACTTACTCCCCTTCATCACCTTCCGCCAGTCAAGCCCACTTGGTAATTCCGAGCTAACTGACCCATGAATCATCCTTGGACGATCCCAGGCCACCAGCTTCAACAGCTTGGCCTGGCAGCTTGTTTCTGACCCTCGCCACCCACATGATTTGGGTCCCCAGGGCTGCTCCCCGGCCTGAGCAGTCGCCCCGAGGTAGCACCCCTGTTGAGGTTGCCCATCTGTTTCTTTGAGTGGGCTCACAGAGTGCAGCTGGCATCAGGAGACGTCAGCTTTCAGAGACGAGCGTGTGATGAGGACGAGCCTCTGTGTCCTCATCTCATGGCTACTCATGAGGTCTCACAAAGGCTGAACACATGCCCACACACATTTATATACGTACTTAATACTGTTATTTAGACTGCATCTTTGTACTATGTTCTGCAATCACTTTATTTTATCCAGCAGCCTAGTAATTCCTAATTATTTATCGTCCACCATATTGTGTCCGTTTACAGACTCGGACTCTGCCTGGGCCCTTAGTGGGGGTCAGAAGCAGGGTTTAGTGTTTATATCCAAGTGCACACTCACAGAAGTCAGTCTCTATTTCACTCGGGTATCTGCATCTCTTATGCTTTATGCTTGCTGGACAGGGTGAGGTATTTACTTAATAAACAATCTCAGTACCATTTTGGAAATTGTTCCTAAGTAAAAGCTTTTGACCTTCATGAGGCTTCTTAGAGTTGCCTCATGTTTTTCAGGGTGTGAGCTCACATGAGGCGCAGTTGCCCCTGTGGTCCCTGATAAAAGCATTAGGATTAGTTGTGTGATTAAGATTAACCTTTTGAGTAGTAGAAGTAGAAGTTCTCACTGGTCAAGCTTCAAAGGTACTTCATTAAAATAGATACCCTCTCCAGAGCGACAAAAAAAATATTTTCTTCTTAAAAAGAAAGAAGACTGAACTGAAATCACTAAAGAAATCACCCAGGTTCCTGAATTTAGTTTCGATCAAGAAGATTAAACCTGTTCACCAGGAATTAATATGTGTGTGTGTTTATGAGAGGGGAGATTTTAGAAATTCTTTTACGTACACATTTGCGAAACCGAATCCGTTGAAAGCTGAAGGCTGTCACCAGCCTGGTAAAGCATTCTGGGCTGACCCCCGGCTTTGTCTTCCAGATACATGATCATGAGGGAATGCTGGCACGCCGTTCCGTCGCAGAGACCCACGTTCCGGCAGCTCGTGGAGGACCATGACCGAGTGCTGTCCATGACCTCCACTGACGTGAGTGCAATCAGCTCTCGCCGGACACAGAGTCGTCCCGTTCTGGGGCTCGCACCCTGCTCCCAGAGATCCCCCGTCCAGCTGTCGTTGCAGGCCACCCTAAACCCCGGTTCTTTAAAGATCAGGAACACGGGTTCGGAAGCATCTGTTGTAAAGAAGGGGACAATGGCGCTTGAGGGCTAAAGGATATTCTGATATATCCCAGTGATCTCAGTTTTACTTTATTGAGCGTACAGCCTGTTTGATCGATCACAGTTCAATTGTTTCAGGCATTTAGAAATTGATGGCCTACAACACCTGCTGGACTAAGGCTTTTCAGGACCCTGGACTGGAGACTCCTGTTCCAGTTGAGCAGTTCAGACTTAGGCAGCCTGTTTGCTAAGCTTTGTCAGGGAGCCTTTTTTCTATATGATTTAGAACAATCTGCTTGGAGGGCCTTTTGCGTGGACCGAACGGTAATTAAAACACACAGAGTGTGTACATGTTCCCACTTAGCGGCCTGGTCTCTCACAAAGACTTCTTCTTTATGCTCAATTCCCATAAGATATTTTCCTTAAAATACGCTTTTCCTTAAGATATTGCTTAAGCCTCCTTGGCTTGAATATCCCCCCACAGGGGTCCTTTGTAATTTACTCATGTCACCTCGTTCAAACGGGCAGGCTGGGAGTTACTAAATGAGCTGCATCCATCAATGTCTTGTGTGTTTTTTTTCCGCTTTGGCAGGAGTACCTGGACCTCTCTGTGCCTTTCGAGCAGTACTCCCCCACCTGCCAGGACTCGAACAGTACCTGCTCCTCGGGCGACGACTCTGTATTTGCTCACGAGCCCCTGCCAGATGAGCCCTGTCTTCCCAAACCACACCAGAGTAATGGTGTCATCAGGACATGAGCCGTCAGGCTGCCTCCTAGACGGTGCGCTAGAATATGGGCCTGGAGCCGCGGCTGAGACCGGAAGGAAACTCAATATTTAGGCTGTACTTAAAAACAAAAACCCGCCAACTCCTTCAGCCTTACATTAAATTCATTTGCTGTTCTTGCTGTTTTCCGAAATGCTGTATACAAAGTCAAAAGGCACTGTTTGACTTGAAGGAGCTGTTCTTCCTTTTTCCCTCTCACCAAGACCCGGACTAATGTATTTCCTATAGAAGCCCGCTTTTTTTTTTTGTTTCAAAGAAAATGATGTTCTTCCGGCGGCTCCACGAGAGCCTACTACACAAGAGCAAGTGTTCCAGGAAAAAAAACAGAAAAAACCATTCCGTGCCTACAAAGCTGACAGACAAAGGACAGAAAGGAAAGAGGGTTCTTACATCAAAACAGAAGCCTTTGGCAGAAGATGCTTTTATCTGAGTTGGTGCAATTAACTGCTTCTCAAGAAATGCCGGTCCCCCGAACCCTCTATGAAACTGGAGTCTCTCTCGGTCAGTGTCCAAGTTTATTCTAAATATATCGAGTGGCATGAAGGAGTGTGTTGTGGGATATGCAAAAAACGCCCAGCATGCGCGATGAAGTGAAGTGACGTGTGTCTTCGTGGGGAGAGCCACAAGGATGGAGGCAGAAACTCTTGTCAGAAACTGCGCTTTTCAGAATCTTTTCATAAAGGCTGGAACTTAAGGCCTACCAGAGCCGTCGCGCTCAGAGCTATCGATCACGCCGTCGGTGGGGAGAAAACAAGGGAGAATTTGTAGGTATGAAACACAGCAAGTCACCCCTGTGTTGGCCTTTAGTAATTGGAAGGATTTAAAACAGGAGTGCATTGCGACTTTTGTTTTGTTTTTTTGTTTTTTTAACTTATATCTGAAAGGTTTATATTGTAAATATATAAATACAAATATGTATCATATTGCTAAGAGCGGCAATGTACCTAAAAGAAATATTCATTAAAAAATCTCCTTTTTTTTAATCATAAAAAACATTGCAATCTAGGATATACTGTTGTGGTCATATAAACATTTAATCTTTTGAAGCGTTATAAAAAAAGTTTATTTGAATAATTAACATGTATATTTGTAAAGTTATTTATAGACTTTTAACATATCTGTTCATAGTTTTAAATGATTAGGATAGACATTTTGGTACTGTAAACAACTTATTTTTTTCAGATTTTAATTTTTTTTAACTTATTAACAACAGAAAAGAGACAGGATATTTTCTCAGTTGTCAGCTCGTTTTTCTCCCATTGTATTCGAGTTTTATTTTGTTTACAGTTGAAAGAATGTATAAAATTGTAAAGATGCGTTTAACAGTGTTTCTTCAAAGGGATAAGCAATTTCTTTTACAAGGAGGCAAAAATGTTAGTATTATCCTGGATTGCAGTGAACATTGAAGTGTTAAATCAGGCACTGTAAGAGCAGTGATTAAGTCTCCTCGAGCTCCACCCTGCTTTTTAATTCTTCAGCAGTTAATCAGGTATTACGAGAAACGGCAGGGTGGACGTTTTGAGTAAACTCTACCAATAACGTAGCAGGAAACATCTTGAAATGCACATTCTTGGTTTTGAGATTTAACCACTGCCCTATAGTGTTCCTCTTTGAAATGAAGGCATGCATTGTGGTGTAAACATTCCACAATGCAAACAAAAGACTGACTCTGAGTTATGCTGTCATCTAATTTATGAGTATCTTTAGTTTTTGCAGAATTGCCACCATATCTAGTTATGAAATGCAGATAAAAAAGAGGAAGACAGCTTTTACCTTCCTTCTTCAGTAGGGTGTTCAGTAGGGTGCAACTGTTATCTCTCTCTCTATGCTTATTTTAATCTCAGATATTACTACTGTATGGTCCAAAATATTGGTAGGTGGCAGGGAAACCACACCAGGTGCTTTTTGTAAAAACATATATGTGTTTAAAAGAACAGGTAAAGGTTTATTCCACACTGCAAGGAAAAGAAAAGAGACAGAAGGTTTCAAATGTGGAGCCTTCTTCGTGTGTTGAAATGCTCCCTTGAGAAAGATTCTTTTCTATTGAGAAAGATTTCAGTTCTATTGAAACACTGGGAATCTGCCTCTTCAGAGTGAACAGACCACCAAGTAAATATACATTGCAAAAGGGAAAGTGAAGATTTTCCATATGGCTTGTATGTTACGGAAAAAAAAATATCCAGTTGCTGCTAGAAACATAACTGCAGTTTTAATCTTGGCGCAGGTATTGCAAATGTACTAGCCCCCCCTCCAGACGCAATTTAACTGGCCCATTTTTTACTCTGCAAAGTGCCTGGGAGTCATTACCATAGGAATGAGGGTCGATGGGGATGGGCTGAGGGGGGCTTGTGCGAATTTAAATGTAATCCTATTTGAATGTAACGTTGGCCAACTGAGGAAGGGAAGGACCTGTCTTAGAAGCTTTGCATTGAAAGAAATGGAATACAGGGCCCTCCTCTGGTATTATTTCAGTCTCCCATACACATACATATATACTGGGAGGCATTAAATATGCAAAAAATGCTATTGGTTCCTATGCTCATTTGTTGCATTTTTAATGTCACTTAGTATATGTACATATTCTTTGAAAGTTGAGTAAAAGCTTTCCCTATGGTGAGAGTATTTTTTATTCCTTTTCTTATTTCTTCAAAGCAGCAGATGCCACCTTCTTCAGAATGAGCACTACAGCCTTGTTCTGAGAATTCTCTAGTCTGTTTGAAACCGTCTCTGGAGGAGGTTGTGGTGGTGGTGGGGGCTGGAGGAGGAGGGGGGGGGATCTATTGTTAGTGCCAGAACCCTCTCATCCCTCCCCTGATACACAATCACTGCCGCCTCCCTGCTGCAGGAAGAGCTCTGCTCGGGTGGCAGGCCTCATTCAGGCCGGGGGGCAGGCGGTGGGGCTCAATCTCTTCAGATTGTCGAAAAAGTACCTCATTTCATGTTATACTTCCATATTAAACACTGCAGTACGTGTAAGTGATGACCCTGCCTGCCTATTAATTGAAAACTGTAGAACAATAATTAGAAGAATGTTCCTTTCAAAGAGAGTGTATAATGTCCCTCATAAAAGAGAGTAGTGAGGGCTGGCTTTTATTAAATAGAAGTCAAGGATAATGTCCTACAGGCCTTTCACCCTTCCAGGTATGTTTGCTTTATTGTGAAGGTATCCAAAGTCAAACCTCCTTGTGAAGTGCCAGCGGTCACAGTAATGCAGTGAGAGAATCTGTTCACCCTTGTATGTGTGTATATGTGTGTGTGTGCACTTACATTTGTGTTCTTTTTTTCCCATCTTCAAGTTTATATAATTAGCAATACTGGGATGTCAGACTTTCCTCCATTTAACTCTTTTGTTTTTTGAAAGTATTTTAATAGTGCCATGAAGCTCTTACTACATAGAAAAAAAATAATTTAGTTTGAAGTCACTTAAGTGATTGTTGTACATCGAGTAGATTTTATATAGCTGTGTGATTTGTTTTGTAAAATTATAGAAAAAAAGATATTTACAGTATTTTCTTACAAAATCCATCTGAATATGTGCATTCCATGTACCTATTTCCAATGTTTAAAAAATGAAATACATATTGTGCAAATTTTTCAAAGAATTAAACTAGATATCTATATAATTTATTTTTTTGTTTTACTTTTTTTTTACAAAGTTGTTGTAGAACAGCAGACATAATGTTTCATATTCAGTGCTTTTGTAGTTTTCATACCTGTATTTTGCCACATATGAAACATTTGCATAAGGGTCTTTATAAATGCGATGTTTGGTCACATTCCACAGAAGTGAATTACTTCAGGTTGGCAAAAACCTCTATATTTTCATATCAGTCTATGTGCCTGAAAAACTTCTGATGTTGAAAGTTCTTGAATAAACACTAAATGAGTCATGATGTGATGTCCAGTGTTTTTATTTTAAAATTCAATTGCATATTGCTTTTGTTTTTGAAAATATTTAAAACCTCAAAATCTCTAGGACAGCTCTGAAGATCACAAAGTACTGACTCTTACAACACCATGATATACAGTGTTTTGCAAAATTATTTTAGATGCTTTTTATGGTGTTCCATTATACGGGGTGGAGTGGTGGCTCTGTGGCTAAGGATCTGCACCTGTGACTGGAAGGTTGCTGGTTCAAATCCCATCGCCAACAGAGGAATCCTACTCCATTTGGCCCCTGAGCAAGGCCCTTAACCCCAACTGCTCCAGGTGGCGACATATAATGGCTGACCCTGCACTCTGTCCCCAAGCTTCTCTCCCTGTCTGTGTGTCTGTGCCTCATGGAGAAAAGCTGGGGTATGCAAAAAGATGAATTCCTAATGCAAGAAATTGTATAGGGCTAATAAAGAAACATTATCACATTATATGAAACTACAAAATGAGCCTTACACATTTTTTCAACTTCTACAAACTCAGATAGTAGCTAACTGACTCAAGGATTTCATCCAGCCATTTCTTGTAAGAAACCGGGGTATCAACTTCTACCACACGGATATTTTGCCTCCTATTTTCGGCTTTAAGCGTGTTGTCACGTGTAAACCTCTGTTGTTGCACACCGACAGGAGCCACTGAACTGATTTTGTGACTTGATCAGGTCATTGTGCGTACCGAAAGTAATTCAGGTTGTTAAAACAGAGGGTTTGAACACTTATGCAATCATGATGGTTTCATTTAATCTTTCTTTAATATTAGTTAAGTATTTACTTCATTCTTTTTTTTTTTTTGCTTTGAATGTGTGGAGCAGTTTGTGTACATAACAAATGTTAATCACTTCAAAGTGTCATGACTGCAAGCTCTGAGGCAACAAAATGTGAAAACTGTGTAAGGGTGGGAGTGCTTTTGCAAAGCACAGTATAAACATATTGACATCTCGGCACACGTTGTAGCACCAGAATGTAGAGATAATCCCATTCCGCCCGGCTTACCTGCCTCCACTGAAGTAGCTCATTGATCCGAAATCCTTATCAAGGCTCCGTCCGCTTGTACCAGTGACAGTCGCGGCTTCATCAAGACCTGTCTTACTAAACACAAAACAAATTACAAGCAGTCATGGAAGGCAGCTCTGATGTGTCTGAAGTTCTTTTCTGATTCAATGCTGTTTGTTAGCAACGGCAATAGTAATACAATACTGTAATACAATCAACAGGGGCCATAGATAATATCCAACCTACAGTATATACACATGTGAACAGAAGTTTCTCCTGTTTTTTTTACCAACCTTTAAATTTGTTTTTATAAACTTATCGGACACTCTTGGGATCATTTCACTCCTGAATTAGATAAATATGAGTTTGCTGTGCATACAGGTGCAGTGCTGTTCTCACATTGTGGTAAAGGAGCAGAGGGCAGGACACCGGTGTGTAGTGAAAGAAAGGTGCCGTCTTCAGGCTGAAGTAATAACTCCTCTTGGGTTGATCAGTACACAGTATATATATTTGAATTATACTTTTCACTGGTTGACTGAGGTCAGCACAGTGGAACCGGGGTTAGCATTGCTGCCTCGCAGTGCTGGGGTTCTGGATTCAATTCCTGTGCTGCTATCTGTGTGGAGTTTGTATGTTCTTGTGAGATTTGGTTTTCTCTCACAGTCCAGAGGCATACTGGTTTATTTCTTTTCAAGGAGAGGTCATGCCCTGCGCAGGAATCGAACTCGGGCTTCCTGAATATGAGACAAAGCTGTTGTGCCAATATGCCACTCTACCAGTGGGTTAAATGGCTGGCTTCTAGGATGTCAGTGTTTGTGGCTGTGTGGGCCCTGTGAAGGATAGGCGTCCTGTCCAGGGTTTATCTGGGGTGTGCCCCTGGCTTTCTGGGATACGCTCCAACTCCCCTGTGTCCCTGCAGTGGATCAGGCTGACTGATTTGCCCCACATTCATTACTGCTATTCAGGGCATTTACCTCCCAGCAGCAGGAATGTGGAGAGAGGGTGCCTGAAAATGGCTCCTGTATTTCAGAAAGCTGGCCCTGTTCCTGTCTGAAGTGTGTCCTGACTTGAATATCCTGTCTCTTGGTGGAACTTCCTAGCTGAGCTGAAGTGGGCCATTCAGTGGGAAGTGTAAGACGGACTTGTTTTCTCATTAAATGAATGTTTTTGTGAGAAGTGTTTGCTTTCATGGTAAGTTTCCATCCCTCACTTTTTCCCCGTGCTCGGATTTGGGGAGCACTAGTGCCGGCTGTTTGATGTGTTCCTGAAGAATGCCTCCTAGCAACTGCTAGCTGCCTTATGTCTCCAGCAGCGTGAGTGTATTTGAATTAACATGTGTTTGAGAGCTTGGTTCATCCTTTCAAAAGATTTTCAACATCCCTCACCCTTGGTATAGGGGTGGAGTGCTTTGTTAGGTCTTATTGGGAACCAAGTATGTTGAAATCTCATTACTTTTAGCACTTGGCTTTTTTCCAGCCCTCTTTTATCTTCTCTTAACTTTACCAGCACAACGGTTAGATAATAAAAGTAGAAGAAACATATTAATATGTGTTTTCTGTCAGTACAGAAAGCAGGATATACTTCTTTTCATAAAGAGTTGCGGGAGTATGCAACAAGCTACCAGGCCCTGTGGATGACTCTTATACATCAGTTTTCTTCAAGAAACGTCTGGATTAGATCCTTCAATGAACCCAAAACTTCATTGTTAACTTTATTCTGTTCAGAAGTGGTCTCCGCAGAAAGGAAAAATAAATGTAAAACAGCTTCTTTTGTCTTGAGATTAATCACTAAACGGGACATAGAAAATGTTTCAGGTTAAAAAACGAAATACTTCATACTCATACATACAAAGTACTTCATACTCAAATTCATACTTTGACTTCAGATTTGTCGTTTTCTTTTTGTATGCAAATGGCAAGACAGCGATGGTGAACAGCTGTCAGATAATCTGCGCAGTGGGCGAGTCTTGAGTAAATGAAGCCAGCCATTTTTAGGGAGAGCTTTATATAGCTCAGCAAGTCAACAAGCAAAAAACATTTCCTGACTGAAAAGGGCCGGCAGTGAGGAAGAGAGGAGCTGTCAGAAGGGGAAACTGGGAATGCATTTGAAGCTTTGCAAAGATCCCAACTCTGTGACTTCACTCTGGTGTTAAATGGTAATTTTAATAGCTGTGGCTATCACTCTCTTTATATAATGCCAAGCTGAATTTTAATTATTCCTGCTTAGCTCAAACCGCAAAGTCGTGTGGTTTTGTGTATTTACAAACTGTCTCCATATTAGTGTATTCAACAGAATTAATTCTTTCCATCTGTCTGAAAAAGGCGCGGTCTCAATCCTATCATCTAAATTTATTAATCTGAGAATATTTTGTACTTTATTACAAGAATGCACATGAAGACCAGAAACACTTGGCACAGGATCTTGGGGGTGACCAAACTTCGTGTTTACCAACAGTCTGTTGAAGAGAACAGGGATTTTGTGGGGAAGAAAGCCTCTGTGTCTTTTCCAGGAAAATTCAGGGAGATCACAGTCCTGGTTGAAGTTCAGACAGATTTCTTAGGCATACCCAAATTCAATTCAAATTCAGCTGTGAGGCCAGGACTATAGAAATTGAGTGCAACTAAATTCAGGGGCTCAGAACAGGAACCACATCTTTAAAACAACTGTTAGTGCAGGAACTATGAAACCATGTTATTCACAAATAGGCTTGGTGAGAGTTTAGAGTCATCAGCAGCCAGATCCTCAAGTGTCTTTGGATCCTTCTCATTAGCGAACTGTCCCCTTACAACACCATGGCAAAAGACTTCAGACAGCATCCAGGACTAGTGTGCATTTAGCACACATGAAAAAACATCATGTTAGTCAATGAATGGAGCAGGAAATTATAGAAGTGTTGACATGGAAAATATTAGTTTACATAGCACAGGCATAGAAGGAATTGGACATAAAAATGGTGGGTGCATTGCACTCCAGCAATATTGAATTCATTTTTCATCAGCTTTCCTTTTCTTTACTCATCTTCCCTAGACTGCAGGAGCTTACTTACTGTATACTTTCTTTAATGTTGGGAAGCAAACAAAATAGCTAAATGTCTTATGCTAAAGGCATCAATAATAATTAATTAAAGTCAGTATTATTCAAAGTAATACTGCATTCCAGTCATGCCAAAGTGTGAAGTAGTGATTAGGGTGTGAGACTTATATGACTGACTGTACACCTGGAAGGTGGGAGGGACACTGGTGTGTCGATCCATTCCATTTTCTCACAGCTTTATCCATTTCAGGTTTTTGGGGGAGCCAGAGCCTCTCCTGGCAGGCAATGGGCACAAGGCAGGATATGCCCTTGATGGAACGCCAGTCCATCGCCTTACAGACACAAACACAGCCCATCCTGCTCACTCCACACCTGTAGAGACACACCAAAAGCTGGGACTGTCAATCAACGTTATAGACGACAGATGACACTCACTCACACGAACTTTCATAAGAGCATCATTCTGCGCTTTAAGAGCCTGATGAGGTGAACATCTCCAGCCAGACCACGGACTGTGCACTCCTTTCAAGCCAGGAGATGTGTAACGTTTGCCTGCGTTTAAAGCTTATGAAAGTTGCTGTTTTGTGTGATATAACATGATCAGGAAAGCTGATGTCCCTTGAGTCTCTCAGTCCTGGTATACTTTTCTGACCAGTGTCTTAAATCAGCCTACTGATTCTCCCCAAGACTCAGAACTCAGAAGTTGGACCTTCCTTTCCTTTCCTGCTGTACTCATTTATACTTCATATACAAATATAAAAGACACATAATGTTATGTAAAGATTATACACATGCTATATAGAGAGATTTCGTAGGCAGTCAAGAATTCCACTCCCTAATCCATCCGGATGATTCAGACTCTTTGAGATAACCACTTTGACAACAGCTGAAGTAAAAGAGATGTTGCTCCAATTCAGAACATGAGGGAGTCGGAG